AAGGAAGGGAGGCAGAGAACTTACAGACATTTTTCATTCATTCATTCATTCATTCATTCATTCATTCATCCATCCATCCATCCATCCATCCATCCATCCACTCATTCATTCATTTACTCATGCATTTATTCATTCATTTTTAAACCAATATTTTGAAGCATCTACCACATGGAAAGAATTGTTCTAGGGTCTGAAATGGTGAGTAAGTTAAGACATAGTCCCTGCCCTGACCATTGTGGCTCAGTTGGTTGTGGTCGCCAGTTCAATTCCTAGTCAGGGCACATGCCTGGGTTGTGGGTTCTATCCCCAGTCAGGGTGCCTCCAAGAAACAACCAACCAATGTTCCTCTCTTTCTTTCTCCCTCCCTTCCCCTCTCTCTAGAAAGTACATAATTCTTAAAAAAAAGAAAGACATGGCCCCTACGCTCATGGACTTTGAATCCAAAGTGCAGACAAATGTTAAACAAACGTGCACACCAATAATCATCCAATCACAAATATGGTGGTCCTATTATAAGGATAGAGCAGAAAACAGATGCTTGGGGACCACTGTGTGAGAGCATGGAGACAACAGAATGTTGTCGCCGGAGAATGGAACATGGAAGTCTCAGTTTAGAGCTGGAGTAATTCCCGGTAACAGCGGGGTCAAAACAATGGGGGTGGGAGGCCTGCTCAAGTGGGGTCATCAGATTTAGCCAGAGCATTGAATGCGGCCTCACATAATACTGGCGGCATGGAATATGTCAGAGCCACCCGTGTGGATGCCGTAGTCATCCAGAGTGGTAGGTGGATTAGGAGTGAAAAGAAAGGCGATGAGCCAGGTGAGGAAGGTAGGGCAGGTGGTATTGTCCCTGTCAAGGTTTAGGGACATGAAGTTAAGTACCTTAGGTCATGTAGTTTATAAGCTGTGAGGCAGAGTCAGGAATCAGATAAAGCTCTTCTGGCCTCAAGTTCAGAGTTGCTTCAACTTACAATGCTCTCTCTGAGAGCAGCTTTCTGCAGAATGAAACACGATCAGGGGAAATGTTACAGATGGAGAAGAGGGAGCGTGACAGGGGCTAAGCATCAGTGAGGGCACCCTGGACGGTGGGCAGTGGGGGATGGCTGGACCGTGGGGTGGCGGGGCACGTGGTACAGTCATCTCAGCTGCCACGGCCTACTCTTCAGAGTTGCAGGAGCCCCCTCACAATCTTGGTAAGTAGCTGGGCAGTCACATTTAAGTACAGCTCATGAGTTGTGTGTGTAACAGAGAGTGTTTTGGACAGAGAGCCATAAAATGGCTGAGTCTGCAAACAGGATAATCAGATGCTAAAAGGTGACTCAGGGATCAGTGTCCCAAAAATGGAAATGGAAAAATTTTGTGGCATGCTACGCTGTTTGATATTTTTTAATTTTTTATCAGCTATATATTCTTCTCTTAGTGGGATGTAATTAGTTTGCTAGGGCTGCCATAACAAGGCACCGCCAGCTGGGTGGCCTGAACAACAGAAATTCACATCCCCACAGCTCTGCAGGTGGGAGATCAAGATCAAGGTGTCGGTAAGGTCACTTCTTTCTGAGGGCTCTCTCCTTAGCTCAGAGATGGCCATCTTCTTCCTATACCTTCACATGGTCTTTCTTCTGGTCTTTGTCTTTGTCTTAAACTTCTTTTCTTATGAGAACACCATTTTTATTGGAATAGGCCAATCCTAATGACCGCATTTTAACTTAATTAACTCTTTAAAGGTCCTGTCTTCAAGTATGGTCACACTCTGAGGGACTAGGGGTTAAGATTCCACCATGAATTTTGGAAAGGCATAATTCAGCCTATAGTGCGTGAAAATTTGAAAACATTTCACGTAAAGAAGTTAATAACAGTGATTGTCTCCATAGCAGGAGAGGCATCCTGGGAAGTCAGAGGAAGAGTTATCTTTCATTGCACATTTTTTTTTGTATTATTTGAATTTTGTTACTACAGATATTTAATACTTAATCAAAAATAAAAGAAAATGATTGTGTGTCTATTGCACTTAAACCATTAGTGAATACAATGAGCAGAAATGCAGTCGTGACCGCTCACTGAGCCTGTGGGATTTGGATCGGAGCGCCCCTGACCAGCACAGGAACGCGGCCTGCCTGGCTGCTCCTTGCGGAACTCACTTTGAATAAACTGGTCTCTCCCGCTGCGGCTGTGGACTTCGGACTCCACCAGGCCTGGATGAGGACACCGCCACTCTTTTACCCCCAGGTCCTCACACAGAGTTGGCACTCGCATACCTGCTGCAGGAGTGACCACACCCATGCATCCAAGGAGTGGAGCAGGTTTGGGGAATGAGCCCTTTCTGGTCTGTTCTTGCTGCAGAAAGTGGCAGGAAGGGCAGTGGAGGGCGGGGAGTTCTATGTTTTGAGTAATTTAGTAAACTTACTTATAACAAGAGGTTCAAGGGGGAACCAGTTACTCTAATTTGCCTTCTTCTTTGTCTTTTGGAAAAGAAAAGAAAGATTCTGCTTCTTTTGGGCTCTTTTTAAGTAATCTAAAGTCTCTTGACACAGTTGCTGCTCTATATTTTGAAAAGAGAGGTAGTTATGAGGCAATGGCATGCACCCCAAACGGATTTATTTCACAAATCCATCAACCCCAATTCCCTTTCTGTCTCTCAGTTTAACTCCAGTGCCCACCTTCTACCCTAATGCTGCCTCTCACCTTTTATTGATTTAGGCCTGGGTTTTTCAGGAATAAACTGAGCCTCTCTGGTTCTCCTCGGAAAGCACAAGGCTGCTCTTACAGGTGCAGCCTGTAAGAGGGGCTGAATGGGCAGCTCCACCTGGTCCTGAAGACATCTTAGTGCTTAGGAAGACAGATCAGGGTGAAATGAGAGCGTTCGGGTGATGCTGGGCACGAGGTGTAAATGGGAACACATGCATGAATGATGACATCTGGCTCTCGAGTGCAGGCACGAGGCTGTCCCACGAGGAGGACCGAGCAGATTGGGCACAGGTGAGCTCCAGCCTGTCTTCTGCCGTGGCCTCTGGTACTGAGTAATTTGTGGAGCTCTCTCCTCAGGTCGGCTTCCTGCTGTGTCTGGAGGCCCCTCCAGACCGACCTCCATTTGGCTTCTTCCAAATTGGGGTGGGAGGCATTAGATGCCTATATCAATTGAAGATCCATAGAGGGCGCATATTTCTGCTGAAAGCTACAAAATGTTTATCCCTAAGAGTAAGCTGTAAAGTACCTCATTCTTAGCTCTCGAGTTGATGAAAGGATGAGAGGTGAATGCCACCTGCCTTGGCTGTGGGAGACAGGGGCCCAAGACAGGCATAGGCGCCATAGCTCCCATCACAGAGGCCGGGCTTTGCTAGGTCTAACCGGTCGGGATATTTGCACATTTTCTCAACAGGAATGACAAAACAGCAAAATGAAATTCTTAACTCCTTTTTAAAATGACATTTATAAACACCAAAATTAGGATCAGAAGAAGGGGAATTTAGAACTACAGAAAGTTAAAAATGGGTAACCGACACCCCCACAGCTAATATAGCAAAGTTACAGAATGTAAGGAATCACTAGACTATAGAACTTGTTTGAGGCCACGAACTAAGTGCTTATCATTTTGTATCATCTTCTAGTATCTAGGATGCCTGACCCACAAACGGAGCCTCCTACAAATTTTAATCCAATAGAATTATTTCAGTTGTACCCCATGTTCAGAGCCAAGTGACCTGAGACCCTGAGTGGACTCTCTGGGACAGTCTTTAGTTTGGGGGAATGCAAGGTGCTGTGATTGATGGCAGTGGAACTTAGACATTAAAGTTCAAAAGGAATCAGGAAGCGTGTCCTAGTTGGCTTCCATAACATATTTACACTTTGGGAAGAGTGGCCAGCTCTGGAATGTCTATTGCACTGGCTAGCGGAGGGAATTAAGAAATCAAAGAGCAGGCAGTTAAAAAAAATACTTGAAAAGAAATGGCAAATATTGATGCTCATTTAGTGTGGATTAACTGTAGCTTAATTAATGGTAATCTATGGTATTTGGTACAAGTAAAATATATTTCTTCTGATAGAATTCTGAAGAAAAAATGATGCTTCATTTAAAAATAGTTCATCATTTTAAGTAAAGGGACATATTTGAGACTTTATCTCACAGAATCGGGGATGACTATTAAAAAGAACATGAGTCTGAAAAAGAGTCCAGTGGATTTAAATCTTTGTAAAATGAAAACTTAATCAGTAGTCAGAACTGGGGTGGGAGGAAGGATGATACAGGATGGGGCATGTGATGAAATCCAAGGACTATGGTGATTAAATAAAAGGGCAGAAATATAGGCAAGTATTAGCTCAATTCCCAATGGAAACACTGTTGAAATGGCGTGGCAGGTAGCTTGGGCTCAATTATGGTGTTTCAGTTCTTGGATATGTTCTTTCTCATATCCTGGCCTGCTCTACAGTGTTTCTGAAAGATGGTCATCTAACAAATTTTCCTGTATTTGTCCTGGCCATCAATAACTAGAGAATAAGGAAGATGATGTGGATTCTGTAAAGTAAAGAACTGATCAGCCATCTTCATGCCCAAAACTATCAAACCTGGTGCTTAGAATCCACGTTCTCAAGTCTGGCCCTTTGTTTAGATAAAGTTTAAAAAAAATCAGTGGGGAGGCTTGAGAGAGACATTTCCCCATCCCCAGTGAAGCCTGAGGAACTGTCAGTCTATTACTTAGTATCTTGTTGAGAAATTTGTGAACAATGGAAGGAGTTTTATCTGATGACTGACCAGGTGTGAATTTAGCACTGAGTATTTGATTCTTAAAGCGTGGGGATTAACTTGAAAATTGTGTGTTTCCCTTTACTTTGTTCCCACACGACATCAACAATCCCAGCCACATCCAAGAGGAGAGTCCTCTGCTCAGCAACGGATGCATCTATTTCTTCCTTTCCTTCCCCTACGACTTTGATCTTCTTCTTCAGCAGCTTGTTGGTGTACTGGGGGTGTGCATGTCAGTGTTTAGAGCCGAAAGGACTGGATTTTTCCCAAATGTACGCCTTTAATTTTTATCTGGCATACTTCTCTATTAAAAACATGTTTTGTCTATTTTAGCCCAGCACAAAGCGGATGCACTGCAAATGCTAGTTGACTCCGGTCCTTCTAATAACAGTGATGGGAAATCCAGGCAAAGAATGTGTTGATTTTGTAAATACTGCTCTTCAAATCTCAAGTGATAAAAGAGTCAGCTAATGACCTCCTGGGTCCCAGGCTTTCACTGGGCTCTTCTAAAATACACAAAACCAAAGGAAAGGCAGGACACCATTAGCACTACATAATTCAAGCAAACAAATGTGTTTACACTGCCTAACTACTGACCACCTGCCTTCCCATCGCACAAGACAGGTATCTATATATAGGATCTGATCTCCTGGTTCACAGTCCTGGGGGGAGAGAGCCTCTCCTTTGGGCTTCACCATCTGTGAATCTGAAGGAAGCTGGGCCCTGACAACATGCCTCTCCTCTTACTTCAGCTGCTGGTGCTCTTGGCTCTGGGGAAGGCTGCAGGGCACCCGGGGGGCCTCCAGCGTCAGCGTTCTGTTTCCCTCGTGCTCCTGGAAAGGAATCGCAGAGAGCTTCCCATGGGCAACCCTGAGGAGGCTGAGGAGAAGCCAGACCTGTTTGTTGCGGTGCCGCACCTGATAGGTGCCAGCCCTGCGGCCGAAGGCCAGGGGGACAGAGAGAAGAAGATGCTCTTCAGGTTTGGCAGGCTCTGGAAGAAGCCTGAGAGAGAACTGCACCCAACCCAGGACCCCGTCAGTGAGCACTTCCCACCTGGGACCCAGACCCTCACTCAGTCGGAGGATGGGATGCAGATAAAGAAGTCTCCGCTTCAGGAAGAAGCCAAGAAATTCTGGCACCACTTCATGTTCAGAATGAGCCCGGCTTCTCAGGGGGTCATCCTGCCTATCAAAAGCCATGAGGTGCACCAGGAGACCTGTAGGACAGTGCCTTTCAGCCAGGTATCTGTTCCGGGTGGAGAGGGGGTTGGAGTGTGCAGGGAGTGGGTAGACAGTTGGGACAGGTGTCGAGGAGGGAAGAGGCTGCCAGGAGCCCAGGTCTTGCCTAACTCCCAGACTTGGTGCTTGACCATTCATCATTGGCAAAGTATGATCATACTTCCTAAATTTCCTTCTGAACTTTCCATTATTGCTTGGTATTCTGGAAATGCTGCAGAGATAGTATGATTGTACAGCCCATATTAGTAATCATTTATGCTGATGGCACAGAGCTTTGTTTTATGTGATTTTATTTACTTATTTTTACAAGGGCGGGGTAGGGGGGTTTATGCAGAGAGATAGACTTATCCTCAGTTACGGAACTGGCAATTTAGACCTATGAGCAGAACTTTCTCTAGCTCGATCTCTGTTAGGATGTGGATGGGCAGGTCCACTCCCTTCGTAGCTAAGGTGGGACACACTGGACTCCCCCCCATTTTTATGCCAGTGTATGATGGTCTTAGCCCCTGTATTTCACACGTAAATACTTCATAGGTCTATAAAGTATGTTGAGGTTGTCAGGCATAAGTTATGATATTTTTAGTATTACCATAGCAAAGTTGATTTAACTTGTTTTTTCCATAAGCTTTTAAAAAATAATCTTGATGTAAAATCACATTTTCTCCCCTTAGTAACAACAGTCTCCTGATTCATCTTGTATGGTCCTGATTCATCTTGTATGGGTTGATTTGTGGTTATCACAATTGGTTCCATACTATTAAGACAAAGGGGCATTCTACTATCTACTTCCTTCAGCCAGTTCTGGCAACCCCCATACTCCAAATGTTAAATTTAAATTGAGAAATTGCATCAGCTCCTTAGACCTCAAGATACTGAAACAAAAGCCATGCCAGGTAAAGTAAAATTTTACAGTCCAATAATGCTACCCCATTAGGCAGGTGGTATTATAAGGCAATTGGGTATGCAAGGTCATTAAGTATTCTGCCTAAAAAGGCAAGGATCTGTAGCAATAGCAAGTAAACTACCAATTAATAATGACTGCTTCATTGGCCCGGTGCAGTTAGAAACTTGCTCTTAAGAATTATGTAATCAAATTTCCTTTGAAACTTATATTTTGAATTCTATTGCTAATTAAATTAAAATTAAGATGTTTGACTTGCATATTTGAAGGCCACAGAAAGGTAGGGGCACGGGTTACGGGAGAGGCAGAGGCCGTGCCACGCATGGTGATTGCGGGCATGTGTGCTGCAACTTTGCTCCCAGCAACTTCATAGATTTGGATGTACTCCAGGCCCTGCAAAGTAGAGTAGAATTACACTCATTGTATTCTGGTCTATTCTATGGGAAATTGAACAAACATGTACTGAGAATCTATTATGCACAATGTTCTGTGAGGAATAGAAAGATCAGGCGCATTACTTTCATAAAGCTAGCCCTCAGATCTTTTTCAATTGATAATATCCCATTAGACAAAATTTCTTAAAGTTTGGTAATTAAAAAATAAAAATGAGTAAAATATTTTCTTATCAACTTAGAAATTTCTGAAAGGCTAACTTATTAATTTATTACTCAGTAAAAGAAATACTTATTTGAGGTGGCATTTTTGCCCTTATAGATACCATTACTTGAATATTGCAAAACATCCAAAATTGGAAAGGTTTTGAGATTTTAATTATCCACAGACTTACAGCCTATAGCTTCTGTATCATGTGTGTTAATGAAATGAAACAAGATAACTTAATAGAGATATGTTTGCCTTTTAGTCGATCACCCACGAAGACTGTGAGGAAGTAGTTGTACAGAACAACCTTTGCTTTGGGAAATGTGGGCCTGCGAGTGTTTCTGGAGCTGCACAGCACCCCCACTTCTGCTTCCACTGCTCACCTGCCAAGTTCACCACAATGCACTTGCAGCTGAACTGCTCAGACCTGGCCCGCGTGGTCAAGGTAGTGATGCTGGTAGAGGAGTGCCAGTGCACGGTGAAGACGGATCACCACGAGCATGGACACCTCCTCCAGGCAGGCCCCCAGGCAGAATTTCATGCCCCTGATCCCTTTATCCCTGGATTTTCAACTTAAAAACTATCCCACTATTACCTTGAAAAGCAAAACCACCATAGTAAAGTTACTGATTATCCAGTCTATAAATGTTCAGTGGGTACATAATACTTTAAGGGAAAGGTGGTTTAAAAAGTAGTAAGATAGAATAATTGAGAGGAAACGGTATTCATCTAGTTAGCAGTACACATTTGGTATCTAGTTTTGACTCTGCTGCTTGCTGGCCATCGAATAGTATCAAGTTGCAGAAGTTTTCTCCACTGCAAGCTGTTCATCTGTAAATGAAGGACTTTTTAAAATATTAAAAATATTAAAATATTTTAATATTTTAACTAGATGATTGCTGAAGTCCTTTCCACTGCTAATATTCCATGACCCATTGTCTCCAAGTTTGGAGAAAAGCTGTCCATCCGAAGGAGGAAAAGAAATCAGCTAGACCATAAAAATGGGCTTCTTTAGTGACTTGTCAAAGCACCAGCAAATATATATACATTAAATTGGTAGAAGGATTCCTTATATTTATAGCTGCTTTTGCATCTCAGGCAGTGTTTTATTTGAGTTCTATCAGATGATTAAGTAGTTCTATAGATGTAAGTAGTAACTTGTTTGATTGCCTCTTTTTTTTTGATACTCCCCGTATAAAGTTCTCTGGCTTTGAAGAGGATCATTGATGTTAGTTTTAAGGCTTTACATGAGATATGAAGCAATCATTGGTAGCCAAACAAGTGCCTATATTATGGGAAAGAAAAAATAGGTCAATCCAGGGGTAAAGGTCAATCCAGAAATGCTAATGAAAGCGGCCAAAGAATTCCAGTAGACATCAAATTAAATAAACAGCAAATGTTTTTAAATTGAAACAATTTACTAGTGAAATCCTTCATCCACATACATTTTGAATTAGATGTTAAAGGTTCTATTTCTCTGTGTTTGGATGACTTTTTTTTTTGCTACTGCATTTGAATTACATTTTTTTCTGCAAATGCTACAGTTGCAAGTTCTTAATATTTTAATACAGTCGCAAATATTCTTAATATTTTAATGCATTAAATTTTAACACATGAAGCATTCTGGGAAATGTCATGACTTTCAATTGTCTTATATTTTGTCCTCATTTGTTTTGTCCATTCATAGTTTAAATGCACTATCTGGAGATTACCTAGCTGGAAATGTTTTGGAAATGGCTTCAGAGCCCAGTGACAATAGCCTAAGTGTTTTTCAAACACCTTGCTGTGAAAGTCCTTAAATCACTCTCTTCTGTGATTGCATTTGTCCTTCTGCATTTATTTCTATGTACGTATTATGCAAAACTGGCTTTCTATAGCTATATTTTTCTATAATCATTCTTTAAAAATCCACCTTAGAAATTATTTTAATTATTTGGATCCCTTTGTTTTCAGTATACACATAAAATGTGTTTCCTAATGATTATTTTCTAAAAAAAGAAATCAATGCATATTTTAATTCTATTTCTCTTTAATCCTGCTGTCCTGATGATCTGGAGAAGCGAATGCATTTATATTTAGTGTATATTCCATAACATCAGTATAATGGAATATGCACTGCACAGATACACATGTGGCCTTTACGTCAGAAAGTATTATACCCCTCAGTGGTCAAAGGCAACCTAATTGACCAAGATATCGTCATAAGGATAGAACTGTTAAGCATAAATGATATCCCAGCTGGTCAATATATTTTGGTGCCAAAAGCTATTGAGCAGCTGTCTAGTTTGCAGTTGCCTAACTCTGATTATGTAAACCCATCTCTGCCAACTGGACTACCCTTCTCTGCCTTACACACTCGCAGATCCCTTTGATCTGTCCATGCAAACAGACTTTCGAGCCCCAAACAGTCATCAGTTTTATTTAAACTCTGGTTTGCCCTTTCCTCACATGTGAATTCAAGAGGAAATAGCTGATAGTGGTATCAGAGTTTACATTCATACAGTCATACGTGAAACTCACAAAACTGCCCACCTTCAACCACCTCTACTTACAAAATAGGCATTTCCAATGGTTCAACGTAATACATGGGAACATGAGAAAACAAGAGGAAACACACAAATATTAAACATCTATTAAATCCCAGATACTATGTTAGGTCTTTTATTTAATTAAAATAATCAAATTTTAGAGAGAGGGGAGGGGAAGAAGAAAGAGAGGGAGAGAAACATCAGTGTGAGAGATACATCGATCCGTTGCTTCTCATATGCACTCTGACCAAGGACCGAACCTGCAACCCAGCCATGTGCCCTGGCTGGGAGTCTAACTGGTGACATTTTGCCCTGGGGGTTGATGCCCAACCAATTGTGCTGGATTTTTCAAATAAATTATATAATTTATGTAACACAGGAATATATATACACATTACTGCCAGAACTTATGAGTTGGGTAAGTACTCTATTTGATAGGTGGGTGGGGAAAATAAAAAAGTTTTCTAAGCAGCCCTGGCCTTGTGGCTCAGTTGGTTGGAGCCTCATTCCATATACCAAAAAGGTCCCAAATTCAATTCCTGGTCAGGGCACGGACCCTGGTTGTGGGTTTGACCCCTAGTCGGCAACCGATCAACGTCTCTGTCTCGGTCTCTCTTTCCCTCCCTTTCTCCCTTCCTCTCTCTAAAATCAATGGATACCCTCAGGTGAAGAATAAAAAAAAAGTTTAAGTAGCTTGCTTAAGGTCATCTGGAGTATCTTTTTTATTTGTGTTAAAATATTTGCTCATTCATTGTCCATCGATTTAGATTTAACTCCTCTAGGTCTCATGACTATAGGCCTCTAAGCTAATTTCATGTTACTTCCGTCTGGCTCTCATATCTGAAAGACACTGATGTTCTCCCCTGAAAGAGGAGTTGTGCGTGGGTCCGGTCCTCAGCCAAGCAAGCGCTGTTGGGACTTGAGAGGTGGTCCCTGCAAGCCCCCTCATCAGTCTCTGTCTCATTTTTCTCTCAATTAAAATAAGGCTGATAATGATTACTTCACAACAATTGGGATGGCCGCGTGTAACTAAGATCACATCAGAAAGCTTTAGATACTGTAAAATTACCAGGGGTTCATTCACTCTTCTCCAATCAGACTTCAGAAAAAATGTTTTAAGAGATTTAAAAAGACAGGCAAAGAATAACATAACTCTCAACTTCTCACCACGAGAATAGTTAATATTTTCTCATCTTGTGCTTCTTGTTTATTTTCTAAAAGAAAGAAACCATTTCACATGTAAGTAAAGTCCCCTCTAATCACCATGAGGAGTTCCCATCCCCCAAACCCCTCGCCCCTCAATACCCGCAACTCAGACTCCCGTTTATAATTCCAGTGTCTTTTTGCAAAGGTGCATACATGTCCACAAGTAATATACAGTATGCTTGTATGTGCATATATTGTATGCACACACAATATGCATATATTGTGTGTATATGTTCCTTTATTCAGCAGGTATTTACTTGTTCACTAGCTGTGAGCAAGACACAGCTCTAGGGACTGTGAATATAGCACTGGAACAAGTCAGAGAAGATCCTGCTTCTCGTGGGGGGAGACAAGCAGTGTGAAGATCAACCAGTTCATCAGTCCGTCAACTGTACAGGAAAAATAGCAGATGGTTACAAATGCAGTAAGTTTTTAATTACATGCATAATATTCTATTTGAATTTTCTGCAGTTATTTTTCTCCTCATACAGGATTTGGGCTTGTCCTTATACGTTTTTGTTTTTTAATGTATTTTTTTTATCTCTATTCTAAAGATTTGGCATTAAGTATTTTCTACAGAGAATGATTAAATCAGCTTTGAAATTTATTTTTTAATGTGTGTAGTCTCTTTAACCTGTCAACTTAATTCTCAATTAAGAGTGTCCTGTACCATCTGAATTTTTATAGTTTCTTCTGTACAAGACACTGTGCTGAGAACTCTGGGATAATCATAGGTGAAAGGACACATTTCCTACCACCCCAGAGTTTACATTACAGTGGTGGAGATAATAGACAGCAATTATAGATCAATAATGATAGCAATGATAGTACCAGCTACTAATTATTGAGCCCTTACTATGTGTTCAAGTGCTTTATATTTCTCATCTTAAAGAAATAGACATTTTAACCCCCCCCTTTTTTTTGCCAAGGGGAGTGAGAGTAAGAGAGTTTCATTTATTCAGTTGCCAACTGTTTATGATTGTGATGAGCCTGGTTGCTATGCTGGACACAAAGTATGTAAATCAGTGAATATATGATTACCTGGGTGCGATTACTGATTTTAAGAATTTACAGTCCAAGAACAAGTAACTAAATGTATTTGTTTCTATAATGCTAGAATGATGATTCCCCCATCCCACCCCAACCGGGTGTCAAACATCACTTTCCCAGTGAAGCTTTCCTGAACCCTCAGAAAAGGTCAGATTCGTCTATCATATGAGTTCATGATGCTGTACACCTTCACTTCCCAGCACTCATCTCAGGTTGTAATCATGCCTTTATTTGTATCATTATTAGTCAAATTGTAACCTCCATAAGAGCAGGAATTATACTGGGTTTCTTTCACCATTGTAACCAATGCCTAGGAAAGTGTCCAGCACATTGTAGGTATTCAACAAATACTTTTTGTCTGCATAAAAGGAACAATATCAACAGACGTCATATGCTGCAGGTATGCATGTTTAGGCACTCCGCCAAGACCTTTATATAGATCATTTCATTTCACCCTCATGAAAGCCTATGAGGTAGGGAGTACTGTGTTATTTTATAGAGGAGGATGCTGAGGTTTATATAAATTAAATAACCTACCCAAAGTACTACTGCTAGGAAGTAGCAGACACTGAATGACTCCAACATGCCATATCTTTATACTATACTGCAGTGCTTCAAGATGGCAAAGACGAAAATATGTACAAACAAATATACTTACCACATTTTTTGGACCATAAGACACACCTAGGTTTTAGAGGAGGGAAATAGGAAACAAATTTGAAGCAAAAAGTGTGGCAAAATATTTAATAACATAAATAACATACTATTTCACCAATGTAAATGTAAACAGAACAGCAGCATTAACAACCATTATTCCTCCCAAATTTGGAGGGGGAGGAAGGAGTGCATCTTGTAGTCTGAAAAATACCGTATATACATATATATATATATATATATATATATATATATATATATATATATATATATTCATGTGTAACCAGGGTTAAACACCTGATTCATCTACTAGTTCGTTCCTTCTCTTATTCCCAGAGCCCATTAACCACTCCTATCTTAAGGCACTTATGTCAGTGAGGATGCTTTCAACTCAAGTACCAGGAAGCACAACTCAGTGTATTAAGTTACAAGGGATTTATTATTTCACTGACAAGGATTCTGGAAGGCAGTCAGTTCACTCATTGCTCAAGTCAGAAGTTCTACCATTCCGACCGTGACTTGGGTTTCTTCCACCTTTCTTCCCGTCCCTCTGTGTGTCCTCCACCAGCTACAACTCCCCTCAGTCACAATATGGCTGCTGTAGTTCCAGGTATCACATCTCACTGTTCACTCATCAATGTCCGTAGTAGAAAGAATGGATTCTCTCCCACTGTGTCCCTTTTAAATAGCTGAGTGAAGTCAATTACATTGAGGAAAATGAAACAATCTAACAAAATCTTTGCCAGCAAGGTGTAAAGAGAACATAAGTACTGAGTACGTAAGGTGTAAAGAGAGCATAACTACTGAGTACGCAAGCAGGGTGTCTACCACAGCATTTGCCACATTGTAACTTTTGCCATCGTTAATTATTTACCTATTTTATCTTTGTTTCTAGATTATAAACTCTTTAACAGCGAGTCCTGTATATTAAACATTTTTTGTTATCCTTTTGCCTCTAATTTAATGTTTTATGTATAATACAGTATATTATTTTA